AGGCAAGATATTCTTGATGTGTCCAGTTTATCCTCGTAGATTTTCTGGTCTACTAGTAAGCTTTCTCGTCCTATCACTCAGCCACTTAACTGAGCTTGGATTGGTAGCATTTGAAGTGTAAGTAGTGATTCGAATGGGAAGGTTTTGTGAAGACACTAGTCTCTAGACTTTCATCCAGTGTTCATTGAATCTTGCAATGCAACATTGTCAGCTCACCTTGATCACTTTGTGAGTTGCAGGTAATTTGATTTGGATTCACTACTGAATTTCATTGTTTCAAGAGCCTATTACTGATGTGTTCCGATTTCAGTGATGTGAATGTATCATCTATGTATTGGAAGGATATATTTGGAGTGAGATTAAATGATTGTAGGGTCATCTGTTCTCAGGTGTCCAGGTATAGGTACAACAGTGTGATATGCTGCAAATAGACAGAATGAAAACAATAGCAACAGTGTCCAGTCTATAGACCAGTATCAAGATAGGGCCTGGTATTACTGCTTAACAGTCCGAGTTACCTCACCTAACACCAACACATCAAGAAGCAAGTTGATAGGATGAAAGGTAGTAAGATAGCGAAAAAAGTGTAACAAGAGAGAGTAGAATGTCATGGGTAGAGTGGAAGACAACATAAAACAGTCGCTGAAGTATATATAATATGACTCTTAAGATAAAGATAATACACGAATGAATCCCCTTTATTCTAAGTCTTTGGTTATCCATTTCATTTTCTTTTACTCACTGCAACCAGGTAGTCTACATTACCGTGTACAGCTAGGATCAACAGTCAAACACTTTATAAACAGATAGCAGAGAATACGGATTTCTTTTATTCACTGAAGTATTTTCCATAATAGCTTATACTTTAGTAAAATCAAGCGTTAGTTAGATAATTGGTTGTGTTGTAAAGCGATCAACTAGAAACCATTTGTCATCAATAGGCAACATTAACTCCAAGAAAAGTTGTTGAAAATCCCTGATATTAGGTTATCTCATTCTCATCTTACATTAGTTAAAGTCTATTCATATCTCTAGAATGAGTAATTTATAATGTTAATCAACAGGCTACATAACTTGACTATAAGGTGGTGTTATCAATACATATCAGTTGTCATATCAATCAGGCTGAAATCCAAAGTGACTTACTATGATATAAACGTTACTCTACTGTAATACAATGTTTCTATTCATTGAGTTTTTTTATTAAACAATGAAACAATAACAACATTTACTCAAAGGAGACATCAAAATTTATCCATTTTATACCAAAGATCGAATGAAATTGAAAGTACAACGTACTTGATTCCAGTATATACAACAGTTAGGTTGTACAATGTTAATTAACAGCTTTGAATATCCATGATTGACAAGATATGATGACCTTTACAAGAGTCAAATTGACGGAGTAGTTCTGTAACAAACCCCATTATGTAATAAAAACTGTTTTTGACAAGCTTTCGATTAAAAAAAATTGGAAGAGGATTTCGTACTGTAGATGTTTGTGTATAGTCTGTGACAAAAGTCTGTAGTAAACCCTTCACCTAGATACATACTCAATTCTATCATATATCTTCGCTAGAAGGTGGACAGTTGACAAATGCTGACTACACACTTATTATCAGCTGGTTGAATAAGGAAGGGATTGATATCCAACGCCAAATAATCCAGTTGTTACGTCGCTGCCTAAATATATTTGACTTACATTTTGAGGCTTTGTAGGGATTTAGTGATTTAAGGCTAATATTCATCAGTAACTGACAACAGTTGGAGAAACACCGAGAATCTGGAAGCACTGGACAGCTGTTTCGTCCTAGTATGGGACTCCTCAGCAGTGAGCACCCATGACCCCACCAGAGGACCTTCAGACCCAGTGGCTCAATGGTAGCATGCTTGCCATGGGCCTTAAATGTCATGGGTTTGATCCGTGACAGGTTCATGGGTGAGCACTGCTGAGGAGTCCCATATTGGGACGAAATAGCTTTCCAATGCTCCCAGGTTTTTAATGTTCCTTCAACTGATATCAGTTCATGATGAATACCAACTTGGAGAATTACTAAATCCCCACACACCCCCAAACTTAAATGATCTCTCCAGGGGTCGAACCCAGGTTACTCAGATTCCGTGGTCAGCATGTCACCATTGAGCCACTGGGTCGGAATCCATTCGTCTACATTTCTAACTTCTATCAGTTCACGACATAGTGCAATCATCACCCAATATTATCATTGAGTATTTGTCCTCATATCTACCAGTTTTACCCCACCGATCACGACTTCTCATTGGAACTTCAGGAGTCACCTATCGAAGCTAGTCGCCAATGAGCACTAGATTAATTCAATTTTTGGGGGTTTCAGGGGATTTATTGATGTCAATCCATGATAACAAAGATTACAAAGATTGTTTGCACAATGATGAAGTATTTCAGTGAATAATTCGGAGTATCTGATGATAATCTACACCAATGTGGTATTTCTTCTGTCGAGATTTGTATTCTACTGACACTGGATATTTATTCCTGCATCTTGAAGATTCAATCAATGACCTTGATCAGTGATGTACATAAGAAAAGTCACTTCACAGTGACAATTTTATTTGTAGCTTAAATAATTCACTCATTAACTATGGGAAAATTGAATAAATAACTGTGGGGAATTAAATGAAAATTTCATAGTTTATAAAACAAGACAACCTTGGTGATTATTATTCAACGAATTGTTTCAAAGAATTGATGAAAAAAACTTATAATTATTTTCTAAGCTTGATAACATATTTTTATCAGTTTAAAGTTATTTATGTAATTCAGACAGAAAACAAAATATGAAGAGGAGAAACAAGTAAGTAATCTCATTTACTTTAGACTAATTTTGGATAGATAGACTAAAGGATAATAGGTGAGAAAAAAATGCCTTATTTTCATTTTATCCCAGTTATGCATTAGATTAACTTGTGATCTCAAGTTTTTATACTGATCTAAAGATTTAATTAATACAGTAATTTCAAGTTGTTATTCATCGAAGACTGACATCAGTTGGAGGAACAAAGGAAACCTGGGAGCACTGGACAGCTGTTTCGTCCCAGTATGGGACTCCTCAGCAGTGCCATTTCACCATAGAATATTCAATTTTGATGGATGATGTAGTGTTGACCTATTAGCTAATAATAAACTGACGTCCAGTGCTATCCAGTGTTCCCAGATTTTTAATGGTCCCCCAACTGATGTTAACCCATGATGAATGCTACATCCAAATTAAAAATCCCCATCCATCTCTGTTATTACGATAAATACGAATGGTTGTAAAGGTAGTAAAAATGATTCACTGAAAAAAAATCTCTTCATTGAACTTCTATATGTTTTTGAATGACTGAATGGGAATTTTTGGGACGAATTAAAAGCCACGCTATCAAATAACCAATCAGGTTACAGTATTTCGGTTCGGAATACAATTTTTCATAGAATAGAGGAACGTGATAGGTTGTTTCATCATTTGTTAGGATGGTCTTTTAATTCGCTCAATTTTTTACTGATATGTGAAATACTTTGACTTGAATGAGTTGTGATCATTGAATGGAGAAAAAATGAAAGTTGATTTGTTTTAAAGTCAACAATCCCAAGTATTACATAAACACATTTCCTTTGACAACCATTTAAAAGACCAAGAACAAATATTGAAGCAGAATAATATGGATCGATTTCATTATTTCGATGATTCTTATCAGCTGTTTACAATCTAGGATATTTAGACACTTTAGTCTAGTGAGTACAGTCAAAATGGGACAACGACACTAAGAAGTAAGGGAACTTTCGAAACTGAAATGAAATCATAATGTTATATAATGATGTGATAAATATATATTTCGTTAGGATGAAATTTATCATGAACACAAGATCAGAGTAGCAAAAAATGATTGTTGTGGAACTTAGAACAAGAAATTGTTTAAGTAGACAAGTTAGTAGTAATCAAAAAGCGAAATTCAATAGGACATAATGAGTAGAACTCGATAGGTTAAGACTGGACCTTAGTGTGAAGTGAAATACGATGACAGGAAAATAATATGATCGAATTGTTCCTCCAACTGATGTCAGTCTTCGATGAATAACAACTTGAAATAATTCCAAATCTCCACAACTACCTCAAAATTTAATTGAACTGGTGCTCATTGGTGACTAGCTTCGAGAAGTGTTGCCGAATTTCCAATGACAAGTCGTGACCGGTGGAGTCAAAGCCTGATGGCCATGAGGACAGATACTCAGAGTTGACATTGGGTGGCGGTTGCGCTATATCGTAAGCTAAGAGAAGTTGGAAATATGGAGCATTGGATTGTGACCCAGTGGCTCAATGGTGAGGCGCTGGTCGCGGAACTTGAAGGTGGCGGGTTCGATCCCTGTTGGTGTGGTGTCGTGGGTGCGCAGTGCTGAGGAGTTCCATACTAGGACGAAAGGGGTGTCCAGTGCTCTCAGGTTTTCTTTGTTTCTCCAACTGGTGTCAGCCTATGATGCATAACAACTTGAAATAATTCCAAATCTCCACAACCCCCTCAAAAAAGTTTAATTAATACAGTAATGCTAGACTGTTCTAATTTGAACATAGTTTAACAGAAGAGTAAAAGAGGAATGGTTCTCCTTATAGAGAAATTACACCTTTTCAGAAGTGAAAACGTTTCCAGTTGATGACTTTTACTAGGTATCATTAAACAGTTTACAATAAGTCCAATATTAATAATGTATAATGGCTAACATTGATGTCCAGGACACTGGTTTCGTTTTATTTCAGACTCGTCAGCTGGATTTACCTATCTCTTAATGAGAGACGGAAACTAAGAACCTATTCCCTTCAAATGCCAAAATGTTATCCCAACATAAAATCTGATATAATTTGTAATGTTTGTAATAGGTCATAAGTCTTCTAAGATTTTTGAATATACTAAACTTTTCAACTATGAATCTTATCTGTCAAAAAATGTTTACAAAAAAAAACAATTTTACCTTTACAATAACTAACCTGTTTTATTTACATACTGTGGACTATCATGAAAGTAATTAATCTCCTGCAGACTATTTCCATGTAGTAAGTCGTCAACGATATCGTCACTATCATCAGTATCATTGTCACTTTCATTAGTAGTAATCATGTTCACTGGTTGATTAAAATCCACTTGTGTACTTTTCAAACTTGAATTGTTTATCTGTGCAGCTGATGAGTCTACTTGATGCCTTTTATACTTTTGTATAAATGAATTTAAAAGTCTGTTAAAAACTTGTTGAGTTTCATGTGTTTTAAGACTTTTTACACTTTGTAATGAGTTTTCATTATTTACTGGTTGATAAGATTTATGATCACTTTTCTCTTCTTCTTTAATAATGATAATTTCTTCACATTTATCAGGTTGATAATAATTCCTAACAAGAAGTAGGATAATAAAAGTAAATTCAATAAAACATTGAACATATTGAAAATTTTTTGTGAATATTCCTTTGAAGCATTATTCAGATTATTGTTGCAAACACATATACATAAACATTTTTGAAAAAAAATGCTTATCACAATGATTTATTCAGTAGAAATTCTTATAACCTTTAGCTTTAAAGCTATTGGTTACTTGAATTGATAACTAATTCAAGGTCATCAACATGTCAAGACCAATCAAATTTCAGTCTAATGAATTTCTAAAAGTATTAGTTGACGAAATTATTGTAATCATTGTAACTGGTTAACTAGATTTCACAAAGTGTGAAAGTGATTGACTAATTAAGTTATTACTTAGTAAGGTTAGATATTTTATTAGACGGTCGAATAGTTGATAATATTAAGGAAAAAGGCTCTTTCGGTGGACATCATATCTTGATTAAACTGTATTTTGTAGATGCTGAGACAATCAGTGGAACTATGAATTCAACTTCAACATCAATAAATACGGTACCAGAAATAGTTTAACCACTCTATGAACGCGAAAAAGGAGGTGGGGGGGGGGGAGATGAAAAATGTTAGAGAAATAAGAAACATGAAAATAGTCACCTACCTGTGGTAGCTACTTATATTTCATCAACAACGAAGCTGTACGATCCAATCGACAATTGAATTACGAATTCAGTCTCTTAGAGCCTTTGGTTTGACTGCTGCAACTCACTGTTTCATTACGTAAAAGATTTGTTCAGAAGAAGTCTTATTTTGTGTATGAGATCTATGCGGTCACCTCCAGTTGACTTTATGGTTAGCGTGAATATGTTTAATGGCTTACACACGAAGTATTTTTCGTCACAGTATGATCTCAACTTAACAATGTACTGAGGACACAATTGATGGAGAACTGCAAATACTTCGATGAACTCTAGTGAAAAACAGTTTCCCGCTCAGATTGACAGATAAGAAAGTAAAGCCGAAGAACCCAACTGATTGAACATCTTTGGCGCGGAAAAAGATTGTTTAGTTGGATCTTGAATTCAACAATAATATCGGTGCAGACAACCTCAGGAAACGAATGTGAAAATCCTTAAATAGAACATACTTCACTGCCAACCTTCAAATTATTTTCTCCTTCAAAAACCATCTTGGTCAGTGTATAAAAAATAAACCAACGCATTGGGCCACATCAGTGTGCCTATATCAGTTTACTTGCTCTTGTGGAGCTGAGTACACTGGCCGTACCATTCCTCCACTTGTAGAAAGTACCCGTGAACACTACATAGCGTGACTAGTAAAAGAACAACGGAAATGGATCTTCAATTCAACAACAGAACACCATGTGAACTCAGGCCACTTAGCCCCTTTTGAGACCTCATTCAAATGCTCTATAGCGTTCGATCAAACTATTCGAAGGGAGTAAGATCAGGGCGTGCGACTATAGCTGAAACACTAACCATCCAGAAGTTTTTAACCAGCGTTATGTATCCAAAAAAAGTACTTCCAACCTTTATCTTTGCCATGCCTATCACAAGGCCTTGACTTCCATAGATTCATCCTGCATTATGTAACTACACATGTATTTCCATAATCCCTCGTTCATTTTCTTACTTTGCTAATACATCCCTCCTGTATTGCATGATTACATTTAATTACATAACCCCTCTCTGTTTTCCCATTCTAAACCCAAATATCAATGAGTAATTTCTTTTAGATACTTAATATACTTTACCCCCTAACCGGAAATAATTCTGGAAAGTTCTATCCACTGTAACGTATATTCACGAATGTACAGCTGAGTAAATGACATCGTAGAAAACAAACTTTATTCTTCCGGATTAGTTTGTTCATAAGAAATGTCACACAGTGAAGAAACAGTATTGTTCACTTGCTACACGACGTTCCGAATACAATTTACTATCCATATTCATATCACGTAAATAACTTCACAACTTCAACACACAATTTATACATTCCGAATTTCCTCTCTTTCTCCCTTATGACAAGGCTAATAGAATTTTCCATATATCTCGAACAGGTGGACAATTACTCCTCTTACTCCATGTACTCGGTGTTCATTCGATAAACTAAGATTCAGTTTTCTCCCTACCCCCCACTCTCCCTCTCACTCTCTCTCTCCATCCAATTAAGTCAGCTTTCAACCCTGTCACTCCATCCAACCCTAATTTATCATTGTGTATAATTCCATACACAGCCATAACCGAGATCATCACCAAATTCCTCTTATTATCACCATCTACTAATCTTGATTCACCTAAGATTTTGTGCTGTGTTATTCCAATCAACTCTGGTTACCCGACTATTTTCACTTATGTATTCCACCTCGTAATCGTTGTTGTATAAGATTTGGTAAAGCAGATTATTTTACTGAATTGCATCGATAGGATCTTTAACCTACAAAACTTGTTTCGAAGTGAGTTTGTCAGTTTAAACACCAGCCACTTTATAATCCCACTCAGTGTCATTGAGAATTGTTTGCAATGCTGTTGAGGTGCCCTCCTTGTATGGTGGGTGACACAGTAGAGGCTCTGAATTCTCTCTCAACCCTGTCACCATTATTATCATCATTAGTAGTAGAATTATTATTAAACAGACCTGTATCACTACTACTACTAACACTACTAATAGTTTTCTTTCAATTTCGTGTGAATTTATTTACAAATTTGGGTGACTAATCATTGAGAGGCAAGATATTCTTGATGTGTCCAGTTTATCCTCGTAGATTTTCTGGTCTACTAGTAAGCTTTCTCGTCCTATCACTCAGCCACTTAACTGAGCTTGGATTGGTAGCATTTGAAGTGTAAGTAGTGATTCGAATGGGAAGGTTTTGTGAAGACACTAGTCTCTAGACTTTCATCCAGTGTTCATTGAATCTTGCAATGCAACATTGTCAGCTCACCTTGATCACTTTGTGAGTTGCAGGTAATTTGATTTGGATTCACTACTGAATTTCATTGTTTCAAGAGCCTATTACTGATGTGTTCCGATTTCAGTGATGTGAATGTATCATCTATGTATTGGAAGGATATATTTGGAGTGAGATTAAATGATTGTAGGGTCATCTGTTCCCAACTATCCAATTATATAATAATAATAATAATAATTCATTTTATTCTAAACAAATTCGTGGTGCAATTAGGAATTCTCAGCATGATATATTGTAACAACAACAAAGTATATGTAGATACATACTACCTTACAACATTACAGATTGTGTTATCATAACAATTTAGGTTATGTGAAGAATATTAAAACAAGAACAGTGTGCATTGTTAATTAAATTATTGAGATGAGATTATTAACTATTACAAAGTTGATATGTGAGTTCTGTTCTAACTTGCATTTCCTCACATAATATGCGTGCTAGGTAAGTCATATAGTCGAATTCTTGTACTTATCGGTACGAGCATACAGCGTTGCGTAGTTTCTCCTTGTCCTCCCTGAGGAGATTCATGGGAGAGCTGTAAATGAAGTGGATGCTCACTGTCAGTTAAATTTCTGTAGCTAGTTGCCTGCAGGAACTTAAATGTCTATCAACTAGAGTGTTAATCAGCTGAGCCAGAGGCATACCATACCCTGTTGATGACCTTCAAAGCCCTGCGCAACATAACATAGTCCTTTTTCAGAAGACCATGAAAGATCATTGGGGAACAATATAGAAGAATAGGTAAAATGCTGAAATTAGTATATTGTAAAAGAAGCAGTTGAGTTATACCAGAAAGCCTCAGTTTCTTTATGCAATAAGTTAAACGAAAGACTTTTTACAAGTCAACAAGACATGAGACGACCAACAAAGGTCAGGAGGAAAACTCAACCCAAGATTGTTAACACTCCACTTACTTTATGTAGAAATACCATTGATGCAGCAGGTGCCATGAGATTTAAGTACCTTACACAAATATTGTTTACACCCTAGGCTAAAATTACCAGTCTGACATTTAGAAGGGTTTAACCTAACACTATTTAAGAGAGACCATTGACCAACCAACTTCAGACAAAAATCCATTTAATTTAGACGAATCTATATGAGAGTTAAGTGGAATAGACACCGTCTCGTAAACAGCATATTTGATAGAATTAGTTTCAACAGAATAAGGCAAATCGTGCAAAACGAATGAAAACAGCACCTTGAGGCACATCAGCTTCAGTAAGCAATGAAGTCGAGCGAATCTCTTTATGGATAATGTACCGTTTTCTTTCAGAAAAATAGGAATGTAGTCACTTTGTAACCCATGACTCAGTATGAGCTATGACAAGCTTATTTAACGATAGTGGTCTAGGAATAGAGTCAAAGGCTGATGAGTAATCCAGTAAGGCACAAGAAACATATTTAACACCTTTGTCGAGATTAGAAACAATATATTATGATACTATTTATGCATATACTTGTAATTCTCCGTTGTTTTATTGGATCGAATTGTTCGACCTCTATTTGCATATGGACTCTTCTGCTAGTCACAAGCAAACAATATATCCATAAACATGTCTGCTATGATACGGGATACTGATGATTCCATGGCAACACCTACAATTTATTTATATATTTCATTTTAAGATTTAAAAGCTGTAGACGTTAAGCACTATGGTACTCCTAGCATGATTTCCTATATCGGGACCTTAGTTCGATGGGTAACCTCTTTGTCATCCTTGAGCCCATTTCTAGCTGCCTCTAAAAAGCCATGTCGGTCGGAATCAACACCGAATACATGG